TTAAAGTGCCGTTTACCGAATGGCTAAAGACTCGAATGAAAAGTGAAACAATGCAAAATCGTAAGTACAGCCATTTTGCGTTAAAAATGCTGATGTTTTAGATGAATATCCTTTGCAACAAGTTAGAATTTAGGAAACAAATTGCACCAAACGTATATGAAAGCTTATGAAAGCAAATATATAAATAAAAATAAGGAATTTCACAAAAATTTAAGTTCCTCATTTTAAGTATGGACAAATTTTCAGAGGATTCTGCAAATAAAAGATCATAATATTTCTACGAATAAGTATCCCCATGTTTGTCAGCTTATATAGAAGAATATTCCATTTATTCTTACTGCTGGCAAGACTAGTGTTGTAAAAACATCAGTGCACAATAGTACTTTAATATATAGAACGTTACACACAACAACACTTATTCAACAATTCATTAAATAAGGATATAGGCAAGTGTATAGGAAATGTATTAAAAGGCCTCCACGAACAAAGTTTAAAGTACTGAGCAAATTTTGTCGTAAAAATGTTTCATGTAATAATTCAAACTGTTAAAACTGGATAAAATAGAGATACATATAGATTAAATAGAGATACATATACAAGAATGTTAACACTTTTAATTTTATTTATTGTATTTTCAAACCGTTCGATAAATATTATCGCAATATGTCATAGCGGAATTTTAGAAAATATTTTGCTACACTATTTCGCTAAGTTAAATAGAAAATACCAGATTTGCTATCCCAGTTGAAAAAACAAAGAATAAAAAAAAAACATAAAACATATCAGTTCATTTACACTTCATCTTTTCAATTTCTTCAAGAATATATCCTTCAAATTTTCATAACCTCTCGAATTATGAAAATGACACTCCATTTATTTATTAATACGAATTATTTAATGAAATAACTTAACCGAAAATGCCTTAAATAAATAAAATATTTTTTAAAATTTTATCTTTTTAATACTTCCAAGAAGGATTTGTTATTTTCCTTAGCCCTTAATTTTGTGCTCTGACAATATATAAATTGCTGCCTTTGTTCAGTAGAAATATTTGATATAACCCTTATGCGGCTTATCTAATGAAAATCATATTACACAGCAATGCCTTGAACAAGTCTTTTTTTAGTTAAATAATTGCAAAACTGCCTGTATAGCATTAATTTATGATAGAAAAACTGTCACAGGCTTTCTGTCCTTTGATTATTTAGCTATTCTGTTTTGAACAGCTATTCGAAATGTACATTTTTTACTCTATATTGTTAGTTCTTAGGAATGTAACTATTTTATTTAGACGTTAAATTAGAACTCGAATATGTTAATCCAACTACTGTTTCTAAAATTTTATTTTTTATGATTTTAATTTTTTACTTAAAAAAATTAGCAATAAAATCCTTTGACTGAATGCAAGTTGAAATTCCGAGATACAATTGTTTTATTTTATTTATTAGTACCAGAGATGTTATAACTCTCGATCCTCACTTTTCTGTCCGTATCACTTTTCAAATAAAAGGATGTTGCCACCCAATGTTATCGCCATGTTTTATTTTTAAAGAAATAATGTAGCATAAATAAAAAAAATGTCACGGCAACACACTATAAGGAACTGTAATGATATGCTGTTTTTAAATATTTTGTGATTTTGCTCTTGAATTTTACATAGCAAAAGTGCAAGTGACATTTAATAAAGTTCAAAAGACAAGAAGTAAATAATAAAAAAGGCAAAAGTTGCGTAGGTCATGCAACTAAATAATAAAAAAGGCGCAAAAAAGTTGTGTAGGTCATGCAACTAAGAAAACTGAACATTGATATGATGAACTGAGAAAAGTCTGAAAAAAAAAACGTATATGGCAATATTTAACACTCTATCGGGAACTGTAAAAATAAGCTGCTTTTGAACGTTTTATCGTTTTGCTTTTGAACGTTTTATGTAGAAATAAGCTGCTTTTGAACGTTTTATCGTTATGAGATGTTCAAATTTGGATCCTTCCAAAATTTTTTAATTTTTTTAATTTAATTTTCTCGTAAACAGAAAAAAATAAAAATAACTGTTTGCTGATCTAACTGCCTAGGCTACAAATTTCATATCAGAAAATTCGATCAACGTAAACACAAGAATCTAGAAATAAACCCTTCTTCCTTTTATAGACACAAAATTTTTTGTTTTCTATTCAAGTGTATCAAAGAGTAAATATGATATTAATGAGCTTTTATTTTAAGCCTTCTTTTTATCTTATGAAAACTTGCTTAGAGCATTCAAATAATGCTTAATGATATCTAATATGATAATTTGTTCTTTAATTCGTATTAATATAAAGTCATGCGTTGCCATCAGGTATGATATTAAAGGAAGGAAATTGTCGATGATATGTTTTTTGATCAGATAATAAGTCAAACATAGAAATGGACTGTGTTTCACTTGAATGCGGAGTACAGATGCTTTCACCAAACAAAAACAAAACAAAACAAAACAAAACAAAACAAAAACAAAAAAAAAAAAAAAAAAAAAAAGAATGAACGTATTTTATCTTTATTTATGTATTTATGTATTTTTAAAAATAAATATAAAAAAATTATTTTGACATATCTTTTTTTTTTTTTTACTTATTTTCGGCTACTACGTTTGCAATTTATTTTCTTTTGGATTATTGTTGCACTACATTGTATATTTTCATATGAAATTGCAACATTCCTTTGAAAATAATTTAATGATAGATACAATGCCCTGCTTTAAAGAATAAATTTTAATAAGTTATATTTACTCGAATGCAACATTAACAATATTTTCTTGCTATTTTGCCTGTAGATTTACAGCGCCAGGTTCTGATAATTTAAAAAATATCCACGTAATTTTTTTTTTTTACCATTACTGAATAATGCAGTTTCAGTAGCACACTTATATTAGTAAAAAAATGGGGAAAATGCTTAGCGAATACGGTAATTTTGCTAGAATTTTTATTGAAAATATAGAGATCTAATAGCATTGAAATGCAAAGCAAAATAACTGTGAATGCTTATTACCTTGTATGCGATGTCGTGAATGTTATTTGAAATAAAATTTTAATATTTTCTCTTAAAGCCTTATAAATTATGTTATATAACAGGATTGAAATCAGTCGGAAATTTTAATTATGTATTTTTGACAGTGACATTATGAAAAGCTTTAGTTCGAAGCTATAAATAGGATAAGATTTAAGTACAGTTCATTTTCGCAGTAATCATATTCTACACAATTAATCGGAATTAAGGTAAATTTATGTACTTACCTTAGAAAGGAATTAAAAAACGAACCGAGAAAATGGTATTTTACATAAAAAATAAATTTATATTTAGCTTTTTAATATATTTTCTGCAAACTGCTGTAATATCATCTTATGTTTGAAACTGAATACGAATATGTTTTGGACGAGGAAGAAAAATCGTTTCCACTAAGGAATTCTTTAAATAATATTTCACTCATTTAATTTGAAATAAAAATCTAATTTTCAAACTAACTATCGTAACGGAAAGTCATTTTCGTAGGACTTTTTTTGTGATAACTGTTACAGAAAATGTGATATATGTAGTAAGGTGATTTCAAATTCCTTAACTATTATTTTTCAAAGCTAGTAAATTTTGAACTGATATGCTGTGCAATGAGATTTTCTCTAACACACCTGAAATTTAGTTACATTTTAAGCAATCCTAAATTTTTAAAAAAGACTCATTGGATTGAAAATCAGTTGCTCAGTTCATGCAATTTTTCAAAAATTTAATACAGTTGCATTTGTAACAATTACATCTTATTTAAATTGATGTACTCATTTAAATTTTTATAATTATGACTAACAAGACATATATTAAAACTGAAACTTTTACTGAAATTTTCATATGCAACTCTCCAATTTGAGTGAGACTATTTTTATAACCAAGAAGAAACACTTAGCTGACTAATGTTTACTATTAAGTAATGAAGAATCTATTTCTGTGCATGTTCCTCGCATTACGCAAAAACGGCAGCACCTAGAACGACAAAATTTTGAACACACGTTTTCCTCTGCCAGAACATTGGCACCTGGAAACCCGAATTTTGAATTTTTTGATTTATTTCATATTTCGTATGAATTTAACGAATTTGGGAGCTAGCCCAAATGTTCTCGAAACGTATATGTATGTGTAAATAAGAAAATGTCCCTTTATGTGTAATGTAAATTCTGAAAGCTTTCAGATTTTTTTTATTTAGTGATTTCATATTTTGTAAGAATTTTAGGAATTCTTGGCGACTTAAAAGCGGCACTCAGCGATTTAATAGGGGGGGATTCAAAAGCAGGCGGAGACAACTGCTCGAAATAAAAGATTTTTTTAACTGCAGCGCGGTAGACTGTTGCCAATAAGCGAAGTTTAAAACATTCTTCTTTAAATTTAATCAACAAACTCGGTTATTTAAAAGCAATCTGTTGCCTCAATTAAAATATTGTTAACTTTCGGGCGTCAGCGTGCTGAGATTCAGAAAAGCATTAGAAAAGAAATGTCAGAAAAGCGTTTCATATTCAATCTGTCTTATATCCAGTAACAAACTAAACGATTTAAATGCAATAAACGCAGCTCTTAATATTTTTAATGTGATTGATTTTTTATGACCTAAATCATGATATGCTTAATTGAAAATAATAAAAAAACGATTAAATATTTTTTTTATGAAATTACGCTTGCTGAACTAAAATCATTATATACTTTTATGGTAACTAGTTAAGCTAAAAGTGTACATCTTTTCTTCATTAGCAACTTACGTATCTCGTCTAGGCATAATGCATATTTTTGGTTTTTTTTGTGCGAATAAAATAAGTCTAATAATACCTTCTTATTCCAAATAAATTATTGTAAATATTATGGTTTAAGGATTAATTACATTTTTAAAGTAAAGTAAACAGGCAATTGTTTAAAATATTTATCTTTCTCTCTTAGTTCCTGTTGCTCCTCATCTGAAACAAAGCGAAGCATACCGAAAGAGAAATCGAACGTACCTTGTTCTCTTTTCGAATGATTTGCTGCAAGTTGAATCCTTCTACCTGGAATGGCAGACATGCATCGTTTGATGCCCGCACCGGCGTCGGCCTTTCTTTTTAAACACGGAAGGCTTTTTTTTCTCTTCCCGGCATTCCCTGCGAGGGCTCGTGCAAGACAGTAGTCAGCACTAATGACCACTCGTCCACGAATGCAAAATAACAATGGCTCCACCCTCACTAAAGGGGGGACCGACAGGAAAAGAAGTGCGTCGGCTGGATTTTCGCACTTCGAAGAAGGAAATACCATCCCGTGGCTAACTTCTGAGTTCACTGCCATTCCACAGGGGAGAGGGACGATCACTTACTCTAAATGAAAAAAAAAAAGACCTGACTTCCTCTTTTTGATAGCATAAAAATCAATGGTGCTATTGTATCTTCGTTTCTGATTAAGATTGAAGAAAAACAGTGCAAGGGACTTAGTTACACTTTAAAAAGTGGTTGAAATGGATGAAATTTAAATATCATAATCTCAGAAGGCTACTTATATATAATTATCATAACATCACATCATATTTTTAAATAATAGCGTGCATTTTGATTTAACTGCAGTGTTAAGAAACAACAAAAAGATGAAGAAAAATAACAAAATTTAACGGTTAGGGTTTAGGGAGTAGGAAAACAATGCAATAAAATCGGTTTTTTTCGCAAAGTTTCGGCAAGCTCATTAATATTTCCTGACAGCAAGGGGCTCATAGTCATTTAACTCAGTGGTCTCAAACTGACGCTTCAGAAGGAATTTTATGCAGTCCTCGAAGACTTTTTAATTATGTTTTTGCTGCAAATACGGTGTGGCAAGGATTTCGAGATTTAACTATTTGAAGTCCGAGAGTACAATATTTTTAGCCCAAAGGAAGCTCAGAATTAGCCCAATATTTTTAGCCCAGAAGGGCTATTAATTTCGTTTTGGCATTTTGCGTTGGTTCACTATGAATGTCGGTTCCCTTTACAAATTGTTGCCACCAAATATTGGAGCCCCGCATTATATTTAAAGAAATTAAATAATGAAGAATCTGCATAAATGTATGCATGTTTTCCGCGCAGCGAAAAAAGATCTAGAGACATCAAATTTTCAGTAAATTGTCATCCACTAGAATATGAGGACCTGGAAGCCAGAACTTAGAATTTGGAATTTGTTTTATTATGTATTTCTTAATTTGTAAAACTTTAGCAAATTTTTGATTAAGAAACTCAACAATTTCAAAGCGAGCAATGTCAAAACTGTACGGGGGAAAATATATCTCCAGCGCGCGAGACTGTGCATCGGAAATTTTAAAGATATGCTCATTTTTAAAATTATTTCGTAATATTACTGTTGAATTGAATTTTATGTGGTTTAAGTTCGAAGAACATTATATTTAATAAATAAAGGTAACTCACAAAACGTTAGAAAAACACCCCTTTTGGCTTAATACTTTTATGGTTTTTAAAAATGTACATAAATAACGCATTATAACATCCACAAATAGAGCTAATTAACTGACAATGGGAGGTTAATCTTATTTAAATATCTGAAGATACAAATTTATTAACTTTTAAGAACATGATTGATCGATGAGCCTTCGTGATATAGATAAGGTAGTAATTTCTCTGCAAGGATACAAAAGCTATCTGAATCAAAACGTCAAGGGTCAATTTGTAGTAAGAAATAAAAAATTTTATAATTATTTACATGCAAATATATGCATTTTTATTAATGCTTCAAAAAATTTAATAAATAAGAAAAATTAACTAGGTTGTAATTATTTATTCTTACGTTTTGTGTATTAAATTTTCTCTGAAAAGTTTAAAATTTTCATAAGTTATTTATTTTTAATTCAAATTAAAGTATGTTGTTTAATGATTAATTAAAGCTCTAAAGATTATTTGAAAGAAATGGCCGTCTAAAGAATATAATATTTAGCTGTCAGTTTAATTCAATTTGAATTACATAACATAAGCAACAAAAGTGTCTTATAGGTGCCAGATTTTCGATTTCAAATAGAAAATAAATATAAATTTATTTTTTTTTCTGTGCGGTATTATTATTGTTTATGTCTGTTTTGATACATGCAATGTGTTTTATTTTAAACTGATATTTAAACTGACAACTAACCAGAGCCATCCGTAGCTCGATTTTATCAGCTCAAATGCTATCAAATTTGGTAGGAAGACCAACGACGATATGGGAAAAAGGAGTTCGTGGGAGGAACTAAATCTGAAAGGTTTTCGATTTTAACTGTCTCCCGAAAGAGTTTGTTAAGGTGTTTTACGCATTCATTGAGCTCGCAGATTACCAATCTCCTCCTGTTAACCACTTTTTTTCTTCCTGTTTTTTTAGCATCGTCTTTTTCTCACTTACGGCACATACAATTCAACAGCAAAATCACAAAATTTTTAAGAGAAATGCTTAGAATTCTCAGTGCATTGTTAAATGTTGCCATATATTTTTCTATTTTGTTCAGTTTTCTCCAAAACTTCTTTTTGTCTTTTTATTATTAACTGTGTTAACCTTATTTATTAAATACTACATTCTTCGCACTTAAGCCACATAAAATTTAATTCAATTTTTTTTTATTGTTAACCTTTTGTTTGTTTTATTATTAACCTTTTTGATTACTCTCATCATCGAAAATATTATTTATAAACGTAAATACTGATCAACTGTGTGTGCCCAAGGCATACACACTTTTTTCCTCTTCACCCTTCCTTTTCTTTTCCGCCGTTTTTTTCCCTTCGCCTTTCTGAATCATACAAGTATTAATCAAGGTGCTTATGTCACTTCTAACGAAGGAAATATTAACTAAAGTAACAATAAATGTTAACTAAAGTAGCAAACTAATGCCTTAAAGGTCATTCATCTCTTAATATCTTAAAACTAACATCAAAAACAGTTCGCAGAATGCAAATCATAAAATTATATAGTAATACTAAGGCTTATAACATATCCTATTGATTATATTATTTGAATCTGAAAATTCATAATTTTAAACATATAAGAATAACATTTTACATATTTCCCAAAATTGTAAAACTTACGATTCCATTTTAAATTGCTTTACGAATCGTTGCCATTCACAACTTCAAAGCAAATATAATTGAATTAAACATTAATATTTTCCAGTCTTTTCAAATATTATTGAGTTAGTACTTTTGTGTGTTAACAATTCGTATAAAATTTGTGAATAAACATGCCAGAAGAGAAAAAAAAATTGTAACTTTTTTTACAATTTCAAACTTTGACAGGTGAAGATATCGGGAGCAAATCCGAATACCTTCATCATCGGGACATGTTTTTAGGAATTTACATCCCAAGTATAAATATTACAGCGGATATTAAAAAAGTGCCTGGCAACAGTTAATATTCCGTAAACGTGAATATTGATTAGCTGACTGCTTCCACGCCCCACACATTTTTTTCTTCGCCTTCTAGATATACGGTAAGGATTTTTTGTTGTTTATTTGAATGTACGCGTTAACTGATGACAGAATTAATATTATTCCTATCATTTATTTCATTCGCCTACAGCTCGTTGTTAGATTAATTAACCTAAGCGAGAATTTGAGACCTCCGAAATAGCTAATTTGTTCGCATGAATCTCGAAATTACTCGCCTGAAGAATGTGAGGTATGGAAATTTGTTTTGAGAAAGAATCTTTTAGATCTTCTTTTATTTCATGCACTCGCCAACGATTTCAGATAGTCTTTAGGAAATTACAGAGCAGTTTTTCATATTTAGATGTGATTCCAAAGGCAAAAATTGCTGAAGAACGTAGAAATTTATCCTTAACTTCGGTTTATGTCCGAGCTAATGATTTACATTATAGTTTTCGAACGTGATTGGAAAGCCTAAGAACTGTGAATAATAAATGCAGAGAAAGCAAATCAGTTTAAATTCTAACAAATGAAGCTTTTCAGTGATGCATTGGCATTATGAGGAAAACATTGTAATCCGCGTAGTTTAAAATTCTTTCAGTTCAAGCTTTGCAGCGTAATTTTTATAATGGAATTTAAAAATATAATTTAGTGAAAAGATAATAATATATAATTATATCATTACCTACTCGTGCATTGAAAACTGTATTGGTACAGGAAGTAATTTTTATTGTATTTATATCAATGCTCACGCATTTCATAAATGCTTTACAAACTGATGTTTATGTGTATAAGCAGAACAAGTTTCCTGTGCCTTTTATTATTAATTGTAGCTATTAATAACTGCATACATAGAACAGCGCTACTATTAAGCTATCATTAATTACATGCAACCGGAGTTCTATTTACAAAACAGGAAGTCAAGAGAAAATTCTCTTCAGAATATCCCTCTTCTCTATTTTTTCAATGCAGCCAAATCCAGCTGACGTATTAGTACTTCATATAAAGTACAGAGGGTGTTTACAAATTTTTGGAATGATTTCAGGACTGTTTAATTAATGTTAATTAACATTGAGTATTTTTCGAATGTTCGATCTTATAGTCATTTTCCTTTTTGGATCGCAATTTCGGTAGTAGAAAGACTTTTCGTAAAATTTCCGAGGTCATTGATTTCCATTTATCTTCCACTACCTTCCAGAATCGTGATGGGTTTGCACTTAGAAAGATATAGTTTCAGACGACGAAAGACACACTAGTCTGTTAGTGAAATGTCAGTAAACGTCGCAGGAATACGTTCAAAAGATATATATGAAATACCTATATCAGTCATCATTTTTTCAAGGAATGCAGTGGTACTTTTTGAAATATGACTTATTGCTTTGCTCGATGAAGTTTCACTCTTAAAAGTCATTCGAATGAAGTAAAACTTTTTCTTGATAGTACGTTGAGTTAATTTCAACACTTTTTCCACATCTCTTATTTTTAATTTACCGTTGTAGGAGAATACTGCGATAATCATAAAACCCTTGTTAAGATTTTCGTTGCATTGACGGAACCAGGTTTGTAGATTTTGATCTCATCATTTTTGATAACAAACAGACTTTTTTTGTTGAAGTTATTTAAGTAAACCGAAGCTTCATCTAGGATTACAATGGATTTCGATTTACTTCCTAATAGATATTTTTCTTACAGATTTCCACAATCTGTTCAGAGTTCAGCCACATGTTTCGGCAGAAGCCAATGAAC